AGCCCAGTAGCAAACCAGCAGCAAACCAGTAGCAAACCAGCAGCAGCCCAGCAGCAGCCCAGCAGCAGGCAGGCTGGGAGCAGCACAGCCCAGCGCAGCCAGGGAGGCTCCAGCAGCAGCTGGAGGAGCAGTTGATCCGTTTGCACCTCTGCTTTTCGGGGCTGGAGTCACTAGAGGGAGGCACCATCACCCGTCCTGCCCCTGCCAGCTCTGGGTGCTGGGGAGGCCTTTTCTTCTGGGTACCAAAAAACCCCGACACCTGCAATATCCTGGGCAGCAACTTGGAGTCACAGAGTGGTTTTGGTTGGAAAAGACCTTGAAGATCCTCCAGTCCAACCCTTCCCCCAGCCCTGCCCAGGCCCCACTGCCCCACGTCCCTCAGCACCATCTCCAGGGCTTGGAAACCCCTCCAGGGATGGGGACTCCCCCCCTGCCCTGGGCAGCCTGGGCCAGGCCCTGACAACCCTTGCCAGGCAGGAATTGTTCCCCAGATCCAACCTCCACCTCCCCTGGCACAACTTGAGGCCGTTCCCTCTTGTCCCAGGGCTTGTTCCTGGGGAGCAGAGCCCGACCCCCCTGGCTCCAACCTCCTCTCAGCAGCTGCAGAGCCAGCAGGTCTCCCCTCAGCTCCTTTGCTCCAGGCTGGACACCCCCAGCTCCCTCAGCTGCTCCTGCTCACCCTTGTGCCTGTGCAGCTGCCATCCTTGGTGGCACAAGTTTGCCTTTGGGAGAGAATTCTGCTGTCAAGCATGGAAAAGGGGGTTTGGGCCCGGGGAAGAGCTGAAACCCCACTTTGCATGGCCCAGTTTGACTTCATGAAGGCCACGACAGTGTTAAGAGCCCACGAAGGGGGACTTGGTCTGCAGAGGCAGGAGACAAGGCCCAAGGCAGGGCTCACCCCCCTCCCTGCTCTTGGGAATTAAGGCATAAATTCCTGCTTTTCCCCTTAGGAGGAGCTGCGGGAAGGGAAGGCTCCTTTGCAGCCTCTTGTTGTGCAAAAGGTTCTCAGGCAGGGCTGCAAAGGTGTTAAACCAAGCAGGGTCTTCCCCCCTCTCCCAGCCCCTGCCTTTCACCTTCCTCTGCTTTCATGGCCATGTGTTCAGAGAGCAGAACAAAGCCTGGTGCTCGACCTGGAGGAGATCTGCAGATCTGGCAACCAGCTGTGCTGGCGGGGCCACCTCAGATCCCAACCTGCTGGGATGAAGTGAAGCTGTTAAACACGAGAGCAGGGCTTTTACAAGCTCTGCACCCACATTGTTCCATAACCCCCACATTTCTTGTTTGCTGAGAGGGGCTTTTGCTTTTTCCTGTGCACACACACACGGACAGACACACCAGGTTCCCAGTGCTGAGGGAACAGCCCATATGGCTGAAGTTTAAACCACTTCAAGACACTGCCCAGAAAGGAGCTGGGATGTATCACCTGGAGGCTGCAGAGCTGTGAGAATATTTATGGAGCGTGTTTCATTTCAAAGGTGCTGGAAGGTGCAGGGCCCTAAAATGCTGTGGCTGAAGGGCAGTGCCTTGGGGTGATGTCCTGCACCAGCCCCAGCATGGCATGGAGGAGAGGGAGGCAGGAGAAGGCTCATCCAGGGCCAGGTTGGTCATTTTGTCCGTACCTGGATGGAGATCAGAGGGTTGCTGAATGCTGGGGCACAGAAGGCCAAGATGTCCACTGTTGGCAGGTCTTGCCTCACCTACCTGCAGAGGGTTTGTTGTGGAGTGGGGCTGAGGAGGTGGAGATGGTTTCAGGTCTCCTCATGGACATCTCGGTGTTTGCTGCAGCTCCTCTGTGCTGGTTCACCTGATGAAAGACCAAAATTAGCCCAGTGGGAGCAGTGAGGACCAGAGAATGGCCTAGGACCAGCCATCCAGCTGTGCTGGTGGTGCCTGCATGGCCATCCTCTTCCTCTCATCTCTATCCTTCATCCCCAACCCAACAGAGAAGAAGTGGGACCCTGTAGGAAGCTCATTCCCACTCACTCCTCCCTGTCCAGCTGAAGAGATTGAACAATATCCCACATCACAAACTGTGCCAGAGCAGGGCCTGTCATCTCCTCACCCTGAAGAGCTTTGGTCACACATTAGATGAACCTCTGCTGGTGGTGGAAATGGCAGCAGAGCAGAAGCAAGGGCTGCAAGGCTGCTGGGGACCCTGCAGCCCCCAACTCCTGTGATTTAAAGAGGCCTGAGCCCTTGAGCAGGATCAAAGACTGGGCTCTTCTTTCTGTGTGCTTCAATTTGGTCCTTGGATTGTGTCACTTTCTGTGATGTGAGGGGGACTTGCATGGGACCCCACAGGTTCCTGTCCCATGACATGGTGGTTTTCCCACGTGTCAGACTGGGAGTGGGTTGTCCTGTGTCCCAGAAGGTTTGTGGTGGAACAGAATCGTAGAATGGTTTTGTTTGGAAAAGACCTTTAACATTATTGAGTCCATCAGTTCCCCCAGCCCTGCCCAGTCCCCACTGCCCCACGTCCCTCAGCACCATCCGCAGGGCTTGGAAACCCCCCCAGGGATGGGGACTCCCCCCCTGCCCTGGGCAGCCTGGGCCAGGCCCTGACACCCCTTGCCAGGCAGGAATTGTTCCCCAGATCCAACCTCCACCTCCCCTGGCACAACTTGAGGCCGTTCCCTCTTGTCCCAGGGCTTGTTCCTGGGGAGCAGAGCCCGACCCCCCTGGCTCCACCCTCCTCTCAGCAGCTGCAGAGCCAGCAGGTCTCCCCTCAGCTCCTTTGCTCCAGGCTGGACACCCCCAGCTCCCTCAGCTGCTCCTGCTCACCCTTGTGCTCCAGCCCCTTCCCCAGCTCCCCTGCCCTTCCCTGGACACGCTCCAGCCCCTCCATGTCCTTCCTGTCCTGAGGGGCCCAGAACTGACCCAGCCGGGATGCTGGTGGCCTCCCTGCCCACCATCACACCCAGCTGCACCCCCAGGCCCTTTCCCCCCGGCCGTGACGCTGCTCTTTGCTCTTTGCTCTCTGGCAGAGGATGGGAAGCCCCTCAACCCCCACCTGGGGCCCGTGGAGGAGCGTCTCGCCCTGGCTGTGCTGAGGAAGCAGGGGCTGGTGCCTGAGCACGTGGAGACAAGAGCCCTTTACAGCCCTCTCCAGCCAGAGATCGAGCAGGTGGGTGATGGGACGTGTCCAGGAGCATCATCCCCTGGTGATGGGGTGCTGGCTGGCTGTGGGGCTGTGCTGGGCACCCCAGCCCCCAGAGATGGGCTGTTCCCAGGGAGGGGAGGCAGCTCAGAGGGCAGGGCAGAGCAGTGCCTGGAGCTCAGCTTGCTGGCTGCTTGGCTCAGGGTGCTGGGGAGGTTGGTTTCAGCCTCCCGGGCTCGTTTTCTTCACAAGGATTGTTATGATGATTTTCCCCTGGTGGGAAAGCCACGGCTGACCCAAGCGTGCAGGATCCTTCTGTGCCAGCAGTGGCTCCTCTGGCAAGGCAGCAGGGGATGTCTGCAGCATCAGCCTTCCCCTCAGAGGTGGGAAGTGGCAGCTCAGCTGCAGGCTGGATGTTTCCAAGCCCAATGAAAACCCAAGGGGCTTCCACCCAAACCCAGCCAAAAACCCAGGTCTCTGCATTTAGCCCAAGCCCTTTTCCCTGATGAACATCTCCGGGTTGTTTGTGTGCCTGGATCAAAACAGGCTGCTTTCTGAAGAACAAAATGATGAATTGTCACCTGTCCTACCTATCCCTCCTGCCTTACCAAGGCCTTACCTGCCTTACCAGCCCCTGCTCTGCACCACCAACCCTTCTGTGGCTCCTTTTTAGCCAGAGGACCTCTCCAGTAGTGGGACAGGAGAGCTGGTAGCAAAACTAAGGGCACTGGCCTTTGCTCAAACACCTTTTCATGCTTATTCACCCAAAGGAAATAGTGATCAGAGGCAAGAGGTGGCTGCCAGCAGTTGGTAAGTGGCTCTGGGCTGTCCCTACAGGTGTCATGGTCTTGTTGGACCAGCCATGGAGACTAGGAAGGGCACTTTGTCCATCTGATGGGCAGAGCAGCCTGCCCTGGTGCTTCCAACCAGAGGGTGCAGGGCCCAGGGTGATGCTGTGTGACTCAGCATGTGTTGCATTTAGGACAGTTCCCAAAAATATGGCTCAGACCCTCTGCAAGGCCAGGGAACAGCAGCATCAGCCTTCCCCTCAGAGGTGGGAAGTGGCAGCTCTGTTGCAGGCTGGATGTTTCCAAGCCCAATGAAAACCCAAGGGGCTTCCACCCAAACCCAGCCAAAAACCCAGGTCTCTGCATTTAGCCCAAGCCCTTTTCCCTGATGAACATCTCCGGGTTGTTTGTGTGCCTGGATCAAAACAGGCTGCTTTCTGAAGAACAAAATGATGAATTGTCACCTGTCCTACCTATCCCTCCTGCCTTACCAAGGCCTTACCTGCCTTACCCGCCCCTGCTCTGCACCACCAACCCTTCTGTGGCTCCTTTTTAGCCAGAGGACCTCTCCAGTAGTGGGACAGGAGAGCTGGTAGCAAAACTAAGGGCACTGGCCTTTGCTCAAACACCTTTTCATGCTTATTCACCCAAAGGAAATAGTGATCAGAGGCAAGAGGTGGCTGCCAGCAGTTGGTAAGTGGCTCTGGGCTGTCCCTACAGGTGTCATGGTCTTGTTGGACCAGCCATGGAGACTAGGAAGGGCACTTTGTCCATCTGATGGGCAGAGCAGCCTGCCCTGGTGCTTCCAACCAGAGGGTGCAGGGCCCAGGGTGATGCTGTGTGACTCAGCATGTGTTGCATTTAGGACAGTTCCCAAAAATATGGCTCAGACCCTCTGCAAGGCCAGGGAACAGTCTGGCTCTGTGGGGCTGTTTGTTCTGAGCTAGGAGCCAGGTTGGGCTTTTTAAAGTTTTCTGCTGAGATAGAAGATTTTCTTGCCAAAAAGCAACAAACCACAAAGCCTCTGGGGTGGGCTGATTGTCAAACGATGCCCTTTTTTTCCCCCCCTTTAGCCCCTGAAACTGCCCAATAAAATGTTTTATTGGCACCCATTGGTGTTTTACAGTAAAAGGGACCACCTGAAACCACCTCCCCTGAGATTTCAGCAGCATTTCTTCTGCTCTGTCCCTGGAAGGACTTTGTGAAAGTGGAATGAGGTTCTCCTCATCTCATCCCATCCTCCATTCCCATGGTCAGAAACCCATAAACCAGCCATAAAGCTGGTGACAACTGGTGACACCATGGAAAACAAATGAGCTGTTTGCTCCTCCAGCATCTTCCATGGATCCTCTGTAGAGATAATCAGCCATGGAGAGCAAAGCCAGGGTGCACCTTCAGCTTACCCAGACCAAACTCTTCTACGTCACAAATCATTAATGTATAGGCAGTAATCACTAAAATAATTTAAATTTAATATTTAATGACAGTTTTCCATTAAGGGAACCTTAGCTTTCAACTAAGGGACACTGGAGCACTTGATATTTCCTCTCTCCACTGCCAGGACTTGCTGAGGAGGTGAGGGCAACCCAGTTAGGAGGCTCCCCTGACTTCATGTGTCTTTCCTCCCATGCAGGGAAAGCTGCAGATGTGGGTGGACCTGTTTCCAAAGTCTCTGGGTCAGCCTGGCCCCCCGTTCAACATCACACCACGCAAAGCCAAGAGGTGACTTGTTTTTTTGGGTTCCTACTCGATGCAGTTGCTGGTGTCAACACCTGCTGGGTTTGAGGGGAGAGGAGAAGGCTCGGAGGTGCCGGATGGGGAGGGATTCACCTGCCCACAGAGGAACATCCATGTGGGCCCATCTCCAGAGGAAGATGACTTATATGTCAGCTGAATAGCACAGCCAGGCTGCTGAGGTGGGCTCTGGGTGAAGCTTCCACCCTCTCATGTCACTTGTGTTTCCAGGTTCTACTTGCGCTGCATCGTCTGGAACACCAAGGACGTCATCCTGGATGACCTCAGCATCACTGGGGAGAAAATGAGTGACATCTACGTCAAAGGGTGAGCTGCTTCCCTCCTGCCTCCCCTGAGCACCACAGCCTGGAGGTGCCAGAGCACCAGGGACGGGGCTAACACAGCCCTGGCATCAGCATTGCTCTGGTAGGGCCATTCACACCTCTCCAGAGGTGGATCCAGCTTCTTGGCAGACACTGCTGGGCTCCCAACTGCTTCACCCTGTCAAGTTTTTCTTTATGTCTCTGATGGTTGTGTGACAATATCTGCTTTTAGAGAGATAAGCCATGGGGGAGCAGCCTGGCCAGTGGAGAGAGGGCCAAGTCATCTGCAACCTGGATGAGCCCCAGAGGGAGACATGGAGATGATCCTTGGGCTGGAGCAGCTCTGCCCTGGGGACAGGCTGGGAGAGTTGGGGTGTTCAGCCTGGAGAAGAGAAGGCTCCAGGGAGACCTTAGAGCAGCTTCCAGTGCCTGAAGGGGCTCCAGGAAAGCTGGGGAGGGACTTGGGACAAAGGGGAGGGAGGGATGGGATGAGGGGGAACAGCTTTGAACTGGCAGAGGGAGATGGAGCTGAGATGTGAGGGAGGAATTCTGCCCTGTGAGGGTGGTGAGAGCCTGGCCCAGGTTGCCCAGGGAAGCTGTGGCTGCCCCATCCCTGGCAGTGTTGAAGGGCAGGTTGGATGGGGCTTGGAGCAGCCTGGGCTGCTGGGAGGTGTCCCTGCCCACGCAGGGCAGTTGGGACTAAGTGACCTCTAAGGTCCCTTCCAACCAAAACCAGTCTGGAGTTCTGTGATCTCCCCTGCTGGCTCCTTCCCAGCTCCTCTCCCCCGACAGCCCTGGGCTTGTTCCATGTACAGGGGTTGGCTTGTTTGCATGGCTGCTTTTTTTGGAATTCCCTTTTTTCCTTGGAACACACAAAAATGTGGCAACCAGCAGTAACTCCTCTGGCACGTTCCCTGCTCTGCCTGACTCCATTTACATTTTATCTTGTGTAAAATGGTGCAGTCCCAGCCAAGGGACTCACTTATTTTGTGCGTTCCTTGGGTTTATGGACAGGAAGAGGTAGGATTTTGAAACAGACTGTAAATCCCTTTTTTACAACCCCAATTTTCCTCCTGTAAATCCAGCATGCACGCTGCTTACCTGGTATTCACATCAAGTGCATTGTTATCAGCTCCAGCTAAGCTGCTCTGGGCTCCCTGGGGCTGGGACACCATCGTGCTTGCAGGGTGTTACTGGCCTTGCTGATGCTCCTCTCCTGGCTTTTTAGCATCCCCAGTGACCAGGGAAATAATCTCACAGTGCTCTCAATGAGTTAAAAATCTTGCTCAGCTTCCCTACTTCTCCCCCCCCACCCCCCTGCAATTGGCTGCATCCCTGGGGAAGGTCTGAATAACCCCACTGGGAGGGGAGGGAATGGTCCTCCTGGTGCTGAAGCATCTGCCCCACAGGCAGTGGATCCTGTGGGCAAAGTGACCTTCACCACCACGTGTTGCTTTGGTGGGGACTGTTCCTTCCACCCACCCTGAGCAGGAGCTGGTGCCTGCCTTGGGGTGAACTCAAGGGAGAAGGAGCTTTTACCTGGGATATTCCTTCAGAAGGTCTCACAGTGCTGCTCTGAGAAGGATGTTCCCAATTTATTCTCCACTTTACCCACTGGGCAAGGCCAGAGCTGGAATCTCCATCTATTGGATATTATCTTCTACACAATATGTTAATTATTGTGGTCAGGCAGGAAAATGAAATAGGAGCTTTTCTGTTCTGCCTGAGGGCAGTTGCTGTTAATTGTATTTAATTTAATCAGGTATTTACTGATAAGTCTTGCAGGAGCATGAAGGGATCTGAGCCAAGTTGAGGTTCTGCAAGGCTGAGTGCAGAGACCTCCCCTTCCTAAAGCCTCATGCTGCAGGCAGAAGAAACAGTGTCAGTGCAGGGACATCATCTTCATTAGGAACTGAAGATGTTTTTTTTTTGTTAGGAGCCCTCTCTGTCACTGTCCTAGAGGGAGGATATTTTTGTGTTCTTTTTATAGTGAAATTCCCAATAAAAAGTTTTACTTCACCAGGAAGAAGGACCAACCCTGAACCTGGTCACACAGGAGGTGGGAGGTTTTCCCTCATCACCTTGCAGGTTTTTCAAGGTGTTCCCAGGCAGAGGCAGTGCTGCTCTGAGCCAGCTGGTCCAGATGTTTCCAGACTCCTCTTCCAACCAACCTCCACTAAGATTTATGTGATGATATTTGTCATCATTCAAACTTTTGCATCCCCTTTTGGGATGACCTAGGTCCTCCAAAACCTTGTGCTGAACGAAGGGGGAAGTGTGTGAGTTTTGAGAGCAAAGTTGCCTCTTAGGTTTAAGAACCCACTTTGGATATTGTAGGTACCATTGGATATTGGATATTGTAGGTACCTGAAGTCACATGGATTTAAGGAATCCTGGATGAATCAACGGGCTACAAATCAACCCAGCCCTGTCAAATACAAAACCATTATTGATTGCTCAGGGAATCTCTGGCCTGCAACTTAACTGGAGTTTGGAGAGGAGTGATGGGAAGGTGTGATGTGGTGTTTGCCCCAGTCCCTTGCACCTCCCTGGGCAGCTGCTCTTGGCCCAGGGCAGAGGCAGGATGCTGGGCAAGCTGGGCCTTTGCTTGGGCACCATGGCCATTCCCACCTGATGTTTTCCATTCTGGGCTGCTGTGACTTGAATCCTTTTGATTCCTGGCATCTCCCTCCCGCGGTGGGGAGGGTAAATCCTGTAAGAAGAAACCAAAAATCTGCCTCAGGGGCATCCAGATCCAACCACATCTTTGTCCTTTTGTTTGCCTGCAAGGAGAGGGCGCTCACCCTGCATCCTCTGGAGGTCCCTGCCAAGCTCTGGAGGATGAGGATGAACACCCAGGCTTCCCATTCTCATCCTGTCACATCAAATCCAACACTCCAGCCACAACTGGAGCATCAGTGTGACCTCCTCACACAGCTCCCACTGCCCCCCAGCTGCCCATGGAGCACATGTGCCTGGGATGTGGACTGTGGGATGAGCTGGAGTAGACCTCCCTTCCCTGTGTCCCCCAGCAGGTTTGGGGGCAGGTCATGGGCTCCTCTCAGGCTCTGGAGAAGAGGGAACCATTTGGGTAGTTGGGAAAAAAAAAAGAAAAGGGAGCTCATTTTCAATTTGACTGGAAAACAATCAAAGGAGATAATTGTTTTCATTAGAGGTTCTCCCTGAATTTTCTGGCTTTCCTCCAGGAGGGCTCCAGACACACAAATGGATGTGTTGCTGGGCTTTGTTTTGTTCCCTTGATTGCTGAAGACTAAAAAATCTTGGACAGGGAAGGAGGGCAGAATGAAAACCTGACTGTTGCAAAACTCACAGCTGGAAAAAAGTAGCTGTTATGGAAGGTTTTCTGGTTGTCCCTGGGCTGGTTGAGGGGTGAGCACAGCAAGGGTTTTTAGGCCAGGAAGGGAACTGTGCTACAAGGACCTGTCTCTGAGGGAGCAGGTGGGACCACCCTGAGCACACCAGGGTCTGGCCACCCTGGGAAATTCCTGGGAAAGAATTTTTTGGCCATTTGGGATTTCCATTTAATGATCTTGGAGAAACCAACAGAGAATAGAGGGGGTGGGGGGGGAAAAAAAAGCATTTTTGTCTTTTAGAGTGGTTGCCTCACCTTGAGGACTGGCTTTGTGGGCCAAGTACAAGGTCAGTTTCTTGAGGCGACTGCAAAGGGGAAGGAGCTCCCACTGGGGCAGGTGAGAAGCTGATGTGTGGAGCTGAAGCTCCAAGTGACAACTTGGAGCCAGAGCTTAAGGCCCTGTTGAGTCTTTAAAACATCCATAAAACTCTGGGGAAGGAGAAGAGGTTGCAGAGCTCCTCAGGCTGCTCTTCCCAGCACTGCTCCCTGTCTCAGTGCTGCAGGGACTGTTGCATTCCCTCTCAAGTCTCCTACAAGCTCCAGGTTACCCCCCCAGACAGCAGCCCAAGGCATCCTCAGGGATGAGAGACATTTTCTTGCCTGCTCATGGCCTCTGTGCCATCAGGTGAGCCCCAAAACTCTTGGTGTGTTTCCAGCTCTTCATGCAACACGTGTGTGTTTTGCAGCTGGCTGCTTGGCCACGAGGAGAACAGGCAGAAGACAGATGTGCACTACAGGTCTATGGGAGGAGAGGGCAACTTCAACTGGAGGTTCATCTTCCCCTTTGACTACCTGCCTGCTGAGCAAATGTGCTACATTGCAAAAAAGGTGAGTGTCCCTGGAGAGATGTCTTTATCTTCTCACAAAAAGTCTGGGGTGAAATGCACAAGGAAAAGTGTGGCCAGCAGGTTGAGGGAGGTCATTCTCCCCCCCTGCTCTGCCCTGGTGAGGCCACAGCTGGAGAACTGGGACCAGTTCTGGGCTCCCCAGTTCAAGAGAGACAGGGAACTGCTGGAGAGAGTCCAGGGAGGGCAACAAAGCTGACTGGGGGGGTTGGAGCATCTCCCTGATGAGGGAAGGCTGAGAGAGCTGGGGCTGTTCAGCCTGGAGAGGAGAAGGCTGAGGAGCATTGTTGGGTCTGGGTGGACAATCCCTTCTTTTCAGACTCAGTCCTGTTTTGTGACACCTCCCTAGAGGCTCAGGCCCCTTCAGCCACTTTGTCCCCACTCTGTGCTGTGAACTCCACCCGTGTCAGTCGAGCACAAACACACCTGGTGGCAGTGGGACCATCCCCAGAGCTCACCTGGCCCCCCCATCCCAGCTTGGCTTTTTGGGGCCAGCAAAGTCCCAGCAGGGGCTGGGTTGGGGCTGGTGCTTTGGCAGGGAGGATGCTGAGTGAGTTGCCCATCCTGAGAGCCAGACCATCCCCAGGAGGGGGCCTGGCTTCCCAATGACTGGCCAGAGGATGGAACTGCCTGACAGGACCATAGCTGGGCCCGTTTCACGCTTCATGTTAAACCACTCAGCAGCACAGGGTGTCCTACATTCAATTATCCCCCTTTGAAAAAGCAAAGACCCCCCCCATAAACCGTTTAAGCGCCACTTTGTCCCCACTCTGTGCTGTGAACTCCACCCGTGTCAGTCGAGCACAAACACACCTGGTGGCAGTGGGACCATCCCCAGAGCTCACCTGGCCCCCCCATCCCAGCTTGGCTTTTTGGGGCCAGCAAAGTCCAGCAGGGGCTGGGTTGGGGCTGATGCTTTGGCAGGGAAGATGCTGAGTGAGTTGCCCATCCTGAGAGCCAGACCATCCCCAGGAGGGGGCCTGGCTTCCCAATGACTGGCCAGAGGATGGAACTGCCTGACAGGACCATAGCTGGGCCCGTTTCACGCTTCATGTTAAACCACTCAGCAGCACAGGGTGTCCTACATTCAATTATCCCCCTTTGAAAAAGCAAAGACCCCCCCATAAACCGTTTAAGCAAATACATCCCACTGAGCTGATATTGCTGCTCCCTCGGCCACATGTCTGCCAACACTGCCTCAGAAAATAAACAGCTTGTAAAACCTCTCTGTAAAGGCAGAAATAATGAATGAACAGCCATGCTCTGGGTTTGTGGGACACATTCCACCCTGGCAAGGTTTGATCTGGCCATGTGCTGTTTGAACTCCGGGTTCATTACTGCTGCTGTAAAAGCCCAGGCACCCGACTTGAAACGCGGGGGGATGGAAAGTGGAATTTAAATCAAAACGGTCAAATGGCAGATTCTGAGCTGCTCAAAAGCCACCTGCACCCAGCCTGGCTGGGCTGGGCCTCGCTGGGAGCCCTGCTGGGAGGAGAGCAGCTTTCCTTTTGCTCTCCTTTGTTTGCTCCCCTCACCTCTTGGCAGCTCCCTCTGGCATCACTGCCCACACCAACAGGTCACCCCGAGCCAGCTTGTAAATGTTCCCCCAAAAGAACAAGGATGGCCCTGAGCAGGGGAGTCACCATGATCCTTATACCCAGGTCTGGGAAGAGCTGGGAGCCCACAAACCCAGGGAGGACCCAAGGTCCACGTGGTGGAAGAGGAACCTGAGGTAGCCAGGGTTGTTTAATCCTTGCCACAGCTCTGGGAGTTCTGGGAACTTCATCTCCAAAGCTTCAAAGTGCTGGGATTGCTGGGGGTTTCAAGGCTTCAGCCTTCCCACAGGGCACCTCAAGGGGAAGCAGGAGCCTGTAAATCTGGTGAGCATCAAGTCAAATCATGGAGTGGAAGTGTAGGCTCTTATTCCTGATTTTCCAAACATTTTAACAGTTTCAGAATGTTTTTCCATCCGTACCCTCTCTTGCTGCAGGAATGTTAGAAAGATTTATCTTCTCCTTCTGAGAAAGGAATCTACCCCATTCTGGATTACAAAAAAGTCCCCACAGAAGAGGAAGCCCACCTTGGGGACAGCTCTTCTGAAAATACCTAATTCCATGTTTCCTTAACATCTGCTCTCAGCATTTGAGCAGAATTTCCTTCTTCTGTTCTTGCTTCTTTTAGGACCATTTCTGTCTGGCAGCCAGGGCCAAGTTGAGCCAGGGTGTTTGCAGTCCTGCAAGAAAAGAGTTTCACAGAATCCTAGACTGATTTGGGTAGGAAGGGACCTTGTGGATCACCCAGTCCCAACCCCCTGCATGGGCAGGGACACCTCCCAGCAGTCCAGGCTGCTCCAAGCCCCATCCAACCTGCCCTTCAACACCCCCAGGGATGGGGCAGCCACAGCTTCCCTGGGCAACCTGGGCCAGGCTCTCCCCACCCTCACAGCCCAGAATTTCTCCCTCACATCTCATCTCCAGCTCCCTCTGCCAGCTGGAAACCCTTCCCCCTCATCCCATCCCTCCCTGCCCTTGTCCCAAGCCCCTCCCCAGCTTTCCTGGAGCCCCTTCAGGCACTGGAAGGTGCTCTCAGGTCTCCCTGGAGCCTTCTCCAGGCTGGATTAGATTTCTTAGATTGCAAATCATGCAGCTGCTTTGGTGAAGGGGTCAGTACACCCTGAGTGTTGGAGCACTGTTCTTTCACAGGGAGAGCCTGGGTGGATGGGTAGATCCAGGGCCCCTGACACATTTGCATGAAATTGCATCTTGACTCCAGCAGGGGAGGTCCAGCTCCCTGATGAGAACCTTGCTCTGCTGCCAGGCTGCAGAGGGAAGAGCAGATGTCAGCAGGGTTTACACTTCAGATCCCCAGGTCTAAGCCTGGCAGGTCTTCCCTCTTGCAGACAATGTTATCAGATGGTCACAGCAGAGTCTGTGGAGAGCAGGGCCCACAGAGGCTGGATGTGGCTCATGTTCCACTGGGCACCCAGTCAGGGAGGAGCTCAGCTCCCACGTCCCCCAGGCGCTGGGAAGGTGGAAAATGCATGAAATTGGTTTTGAAATGTTCAGCTTCCAGTGCCAGTTGCAGCAGTGGCTGAGCTCAGCTGCCAGCTCTGAACTGGAGACCTCCTCTGGGGCAGCAAAAAGCTTGATGCTGCATGTCTGCACAAAGTCAGCTGCACAAAGGAGCACTCTGGGTATCAGGAGCACTTGAACATCCATCTTGAAAGCTCTTGGTGCTGGAGTGGACCTGCAACTAAACCACTAGGCTGGAGCTTCCAAGACCTGGCTGGGTGGTTCTTGTACCATCTGTACAAGTGCTGCATGGAGGAAATTGCAGGAGATGAAGATACTGAGTGTGGGAGCATTGCTGGCCCTTTCAAACCCACCTGCTGCCAGGGGACTGGCAGACACCAGCCCAAGGATCAGAGCTGGTGCCTCCAGGCTTGTTCTGCTGCTGGATGTCCCTGTGAGGTGTCAACAAGAAGGTGAAGAATTGATGCCAGAACTCAAGATATTCAGTTCTGCAATGACCAGGAGAGCTGTTGGAAGCTGTAGAAGCAGCTGCAAGGAGCTGCCTGGCTGGGGAAGGTCGTGGTGAGGCTTTTCCTCAAGGAGCTCTTGCCCTCTTCTCCAGGGTGCACTAAGAAATCTCCTCTCTGCTTGGTTTCAGTTTGGAATTCTGACTATGAAGCCCTGATTTTTGTTAAAACCAGTTAATATTTTATTAGATTGAAATGTTCATTCCTCTTTGGTGTTGGAGAGCTAAAAAGAAGGTGATTGCCTTTTACTTTTGGACTTTCTCCTCCCCTGTTTCCTGTCCTTCCTTCCCCATTTTGGGTGATCCTGGAGAGCAGAGCAGAGCATAGGATGCTCCTTTTCCTTCCCCATTTAGTCAAACTGCAACACTTGGAATGGGCTCCAAGTACCTTTTTCTGTTTTCAGAGCAAGGCAGAGTTGGACAAGGAGCCACATATGATATATTTTAATGGGACTGCAACAAGCAGATGTGACACCAGTGTCTTCTGCTGCAGGACAGGGGCAGCAGCTGTGCCCTGGGATTAGACAAACAGCATACATATACATATATGATACATATATGATGTATTTTAATGGGACTGCAACAAGTAGATGTGACACCAGTGTCTTTTGTAGTAGGACAGGGG